CTGTGTCTGGCCACTTGTGTATATCCCGGCTAGATGAATGTAGGACGTAGGATTGAAATGTTGTTTTGTTCATGAAGTAAAGTTTTTGAAAAATGTATGGAAGGGAGGTGATGTTGATATGAAAAACAGGACGAGCGAGCGATACGAGATGCGGAGCTAATGACAATATAGAATCGCGGACCACTGAGATGTCGAGATTTTTAGGGAAATTGAAAGAAAATTAAGAGTGAGAGGAAAGAAGAACGATACAACAGTGAGGGACGAGGGAACGAACTGGAATGACCGAAGCGGCTAAAAAGACATCGTCGTTTGTCGTCCCTAGCCCACGACCCCTTCCCTGCCTACCTTTCCGCAGATGGGACCCCATGTCAGCGACCACGCTTCCCATACCATCACCGACCAAGCCCAACAATAAACCCCCGTCATCTTCCATCTTCCACCCCCAGAATGTCCCAATCCCCTACCGCGCCTACCTTATCATGCCAAGCCCCACTAGTACAACAAAACGCAAATATCAACACCCCTCAATCCAGGTACCAGGTACTAGCGGGGTGGGGACTTAGGAACTCTTATAGGCATGTGTTCCTGACAATGGTACGTCATTGTAGGATGTGCGTGTTTCACAGTTAATGAGGATCGTCGTTGGTGATTGGTGTGACGAAAGAGATCGTCGCGCGGGGGTTGCGGTCGGAGAGGGCAGGTGGGATGAGTGCTGTGTGCATCGTGACGGCGCGTAGGGTCAGAAGCAGGTGAAGGGTATATGGTTTTGAATGCAATATGTAGGCTATCTATGGGAGGGGTTGATCATGAGGTGGTGGTAGATTTAGTCATGTTAAATTTTCTTGAGAAACTAACGTACATATGTGTAGGTACATGACCGAAGAACCCCACTTTCTTGTTGAACGTCGCAAATCTTGCTCACTTCTGCGTCTTTTGTTGCCCAGAATTAATCCAAAATCATTTGCTTCTGTCATCACATCAAAGGACAAAGTATAGTCCTATCTGTACCGTGTCGCTTCTTGAAGTCTTCCTTCGCTTCCACACATAGTACGAAACCCAGCATATGGTTTAAACAAATATTTTCTTATCCTAATTCGTTTCATTTCCTGCCTCATGTTTTGAGTGCTTGTCGGAGTAATGGGTCGTAGGTCATAGTTGCAAGTAACATGGCCATGTTTTCCAGGGTTTATGAAATGTGCCCAGTGATGGTGTCGCAAGGTAGTCGATCGGTGAGTTTACGGCCTTGTAGCTCTTCCATGAGAGATGTTAGCCGTACTTGACGGCACATATCGGTAAAGGCAGTCGAGTATGAGCTGATTGCGTCGGGGAAGAGACCGCGAGCGTTTTCAGGTTTCTATGGAATGCTATAGAGTTCTGATGAAATCTATCATATTCGTCGGTCATTTCAAAGTAGAAAGGCGTACAACAAAGAATCTAACGTGTTCCCTTCGGCGTGCACGTAACCCTCTAGATCTAAGACGAAGAATGGAGTACATAACTCAAATCACGAAGAACATGGCATTTACAGAATAGTCTGGCGCTTCTCTTTTGTCGTGCGTACCTCCGTTTTGTGACTCCTAGCATGGAGTAAAATCTGTATTGGCTTATCTATATGATGAATTGGACCAGATATGTCCCGCAGAGGCAAATGCTCCAAGTCAATGAAGATCTCTCTCATGCCCTTCAAGCTCTTCAAGAACCTGGAAACGCTTTGACCGTAATGCCATCCTCCTTTGATCATAAGAGCCTTTAGAGACGAGAATCTTGAGGTTGCATTCTGACCCAGAAATAGTTTATGTCATTGCAGTCGATCAACTCCAGAGCAGTAGCTCGAGGAAATGGCGCGAGATTAGTATTCTTGCTGGATATTCGAAGTCATATCTATGTAAGGTGAGACGGGTAATATTTAGTATCAATTCTTGAATCTCTTTGAATAAATATCGCGGCCATCCGGCGTTTCCATGGTGCGCTAATACAATTCAAGGATGAAGTTGGAGTAATTTTGAGTATCCAATGAACAGACTAAACCATTACGAAGAGAAGGACGGTGATAATAGGGTCGTGGAAGTGAGACATTGGAAGCCTGTTGTGGTGATCTCGGCTCCTGGATAATCTCGGAGACGCAAAGAGGGCGATTCTGCTATCCGTGTGGTAGCTCAGATCACTTGGGAGATTTTTGGGTTGCTAGTAGGATGATTGCGTTCAATGCTGATATGTTCCTCAGGAGGGAAGTAGGGGTACTTAGCCTATAGCCTATTATAAAAGTTATCCTATGCAGAGAATGATGACCTAACATAAATAAAGAGAGTTTGTTCATTGGTAAAAGTGCTAGTATTGCAGCGATTACCAGATCTTCGGCGTACTTGAGACTATCATCTACTTTGTAGAATGAGTGAACTTCTTTATGGCGAGGATGACTGAAGCATAGGTGAAATCGAAGTTTTTCCCAGTCTGCAGTCTCTTTCGTTGGACCAATCTCCACAGTAATGCTACGGTGCGCAAGCGGGTAAGATATCACCCAAAGCAATTTGCATGTTTGTGCGACTCCTAGTAAAGTCTCTTTCGGGTAAAGCCAAGTAAATAATTAGCATACTGCTCGATGATAGAGGCGAGCTGCCATTTTACCTCTTCCAAGATCATCGCTTTGAGTTCGCACGCCAAGTACGGAAGATAGCAAGGCGATGGGGAGGCCAATACCGGCTCTGCCGAAGATGTAGCATCATCTAAAGCCACCATTTTCGTTGTTAAAAATATGCCAGTCCGAATCTTTATGCTTTCCTTGTCGAATTGCAATCAATTAGAGGCGTTCAACAGTGTTGGTCTCATCGAGTTCGACAGACTCCCGCCGCACTCATAGAGGTGGTACGTCCACTGGCGGAGTCCTCACAGATTTCACTGAACCATTACCGATATTTGCGAGATTTGGTGACAAGATGAGCGTGGTGAGGGTTGGGAGAGTATGGGAGGAGGAAAGAGCGCATGTCATGCACCCACTCTCACGACTGCCGCAAACGTGAAGTCACGAGATCACTCGTCCCAAATTGTCCCCAAGCCTGCCTTATAACCTTAGTGAGAATATATCAATTGAGCCTGGCGCAGTTTTGAACCGATCTTGATGCAGGAAAAAGAGCAGAAATTGTAGAAACCCTGGACAGAGTCTGCAACACTATTCTTTCAGTATCACCAAATAATATTGGTAATCACCAGTGTCTAAGGAAATTTCAAGCCTTGAAATGGTGAAAATAGCTTAATATCGCGAGCGACACTGAGATTCGCTCTAGGAGATGAGGCTGATTAAGCTTACCGTGAGCTTTGGAGATATGATGGTAGTCAGCAATCTTCCTTGTTAAACACCATATTAGGAATACTCGAAGGCCTAGAGCCGCGCCGCTACAGCGCTGATACTACGGTGGATGCCATAGTGAGTACCACGTGTTTAGAATTCGAATTGGCGTGAGGACGTTGGTAGGTAGAAGCAACTAGTGTTGCAAACTTCGATTTGAAATGAGAGTAGTAAACTCCATGATGCTCTTTGTTATTCTGAGTGTACATACATATGAAAATCATCATAGGTATACATTTTACCGGGATAGAAGCTGTAAAATTAGTGTACATAACTTGATTAGAGCTCCTTCCTGCGTCACGGCTTGGCTGTGATGGAGACAACGGTATTTCCATAGAGGATAGGGTAATTTGAAATACCTAGATATGGCTTAAGGAGATTGTAAAGAATTTTATGAGAAATAGAGCGTTATGAAGAATCATGGTTGAATTCAAATATGCCGAAAGGATCGGACAACATATTTTGCCGATCACGCTATGCCGAGTTAATCCAGGCGATATCCGAGGCCCAGCCCCTCATCCGATGCGCTCTAGTTATGTCAAATCTTCGGGATGTGAGAAGTATTTTACTTGAAGCGCAACTTGAGGTCATTCTATTCTTGACCGGTCAATATGAGTCCCTATACTTCCGAGTACCCCTCAATTCCATTCGACCCCACTTATAGGAAGTTTTTCGAAGACTTCTACGCGACCTCGGATACCCCAGATACCCACGAGAAGTATACCGAATTCTTCACGGAAGATGCGACATTGATAATGGCATCTAAACAGGTCAAGGGTCGAGAGGGTAATGTATTGCTTCATATGATGTCATCTACTCCCTAATACGCATTTCTAGAAATTCTTGCATTGCGAAAGTCAATGTGGGAGAAAGTATCTAGCAGACTTCATAAACCGTTGAAGATCTTCCCTTTCGGTCCGGACTCGAATGAGGTGATGCTCCGGGGGACAGTCAAATACGGTCTGAAAGCTGGCGGAGAGTCGGGATTGGATTGGGGTGCCTATGCGCGTCTGACGAAGGTTGATGGAGCTGTGAAGATGGAGTTCTATCAAGTATATCTAGTAAGTTTCTAACTGCTGAAGGAAGATCGGGTCCTTCACTAATGAAGATCAGGATACAGGAGCACAGGGCAAGTAATGGACAGAATTCTAGGTTTTGTTAAAGGACCATTAATCGGCCTTAGTACATGGAATTTATTTTCAATGTTAGCCGAGCAAGGCTTAGTTAGATAGCCTTCATATATTTCGAGGTGATATAAGTTATCGATGAAGGATTCAAAGTTGGGAATAGAGATCGAATGACGGAATGAATCGAGGTTGTCTCGATTTGCGGAGCGTACCAAGAAAAATAAAACAAAACATTACAGCTCCTTAAATATTCGACTAAGTAGTCGACGAAGTACATCGTTGTGAAGCGTGATGTAAATGCTGGAATGTGGATGCATCTTGACCCATTTTTGGAGGGAAGCGAGACTCTAACTCGATCCGGATGGCTGCTTGAATGCGGAACGAAGCCCCACTGCAAATCAGCCGGGTCACGAGGTAATCGAGCTTCTCTTTTATTAGTCAGCTCCAAACAGGCCCGCAAGCTTCCAAACATTTTTAAACTATATAAATATTACAATGAGCCATGTCACTTAACGAAGCGATTGTATACAGCCCGGTTAGCTCAATCGGTAGAGCGTGAGACTCTTACGAGAATTCACGTTCCAACAGAACGATTGATTCAGTCGCAATCTCAAGGTTGCGGGTTCGACCCCCGCATCGGGCTTTCGCTTTCCTTTTTTGCATCTATCTTTGCCCGATGATGCTCTCTTCATTTATCATTTGGTCAGATGCAATTTTTTTACCTGGTGAGGGCTACGCAAGTTTACTGTCGAGTGGAGGGTAGACACTTTGTTCATTCATTTAATGGGGATGGGCTTGGGGGGACGGTACGTACGTTTAATGGTTGGTTCCATCCCATACATGACATTACGGAGAAGAGACATTAAAAAACATTGGTTATAGTTGTACCATCGTAAACATCACACCATTCTAATGGCTTCGGCTTGTTAGCTTCTAGGTTATTTAGTTATCCTTGATAATCGCGCCGATCGATAAGGTCGGCTTGAGACCTCTTGCATGCATTTTAGTAAGTAGCTTGCAATTGTACCGCTGGCAACTTTGCGACAAGAGAAGATACATTTATTACATTGCACATATTTTATATATTATAGTACGGTTAGAAGAAATGGAATGAAATAAACAATTGATCTCTTTCAATTCTGCACCGTTCCCGGAAACAAAGAAACGCGTACATGAGAGTCACTGAAACATGAATGTAGTAGCACAGCAATCAGACTCTTCGGACACACCAATCATTTTCGAGGAATGCACGATAGTATTCCCACCCCGAGGGAAGCGATTCCCGCATAAAAGCATCATCTTCCACGCCTTCGCTCTTCGTTGCTCTTATTAAATCTTTCCCAATAGTCTCCTCCCTAATCCACAACTCTGAAAGAGCAGGCCGAAGAATCTTTTCCATGTTGTCAACTTCTCGATGTAGAACACTAAGACAGGATAGATCCGGACAATACTCTAGCACACTAGCTTGGCCACTTGGTGGAGGCAGACACGAGCCATTTCCCATGATCTTCCAACCGAGAGTACCTTCCAGAAAGTTTGCAACCTCCTCTGAATCTCCTTTGAGTTGCTTTCCGTCAAGATCACGAAGCCAATATACGTTTGTGAATATCTCTCGAGGTGGAGCATTTCCTATCATCTCATACCCGGTGCAGGTGCTACCATAGAGGTTTGCCGGGAAAGTAAGTGTCGTGTTGGTGCAGATGTTGTGGACTCGAAAGTAGTCATGAGAGCCCGGAACACGTATCGAGCCCCTTCCGTCATCAACGAGAAGAAAATTACTGAGATGGGGAAGCGCGCCTTCCATGTATAGCTGCCGGAATCCTCTAGCAAGTTTGGATGTGCTAAGATACGGTGTGCGAAACCAACCACGGCCGCTACGGATTGCGTGATCCCCGCTGCAGTCGATTGCCCGATGGAACCAAGGTTTTCGACCGTCTGTGTTTCCGTCCAAATGGATAGTTGCGGCTTCGAGTCGGGATGGATTCTGAGGGGTTAAGCGCCTCATTAGATCCATGCAGTATCGACGAATGCGTAGCCGAAGGATTCGGAGATGTGGTATCAACTCGCTGATGCTATGACATAAATGTGGGAAATCGCCAACCGCTTGCATTCCAGCAGTGTCAATGTCTAGGTTGGACAGCGTGTGCGGTAATGCATTGATAAATCTATCCACAGCACCAGCCGAGAAGGGCGTCGGCGCGTGATCGATAAGATTCCCCTCAGAATCCAGCATATTATAGCTCGTCAACCTTAGAGAAAAAGTTCGTAGTTTTATCGCAGATGAGAGCATGTCGCAGACTGGCTTGTACTTGTCAGGAAGATGGTTATTATGAAGAGACGTTATTAATCTGAAAGAATTGGTAAGAAGCATGGGTAAAGATTGGCTCGAAAATTTGAATAGCGGCGAATCGGGGTCGAAGTAAGTCTCGGAGAAGCAAACATGTTGGTATAGGAGAGGTTTTGCGATATGATGCAGCCTTGTGCAACTGAACAGGACATTATATAAGCTGCCAGAGGAGGTGAATTGTAAGTTGGCGAGTATCCCAAGCAAAAGTTCATCTGGTAGACTCAGAATAGAGGCCATTTTAGGCCCTTCTTTGCTACGATTCAGGGTCCAGAAGGAAGAGGGTTTAGTTAGGCAGCCGCGATGTCATGAGATGGAACCGTCCAACAGGATTGTTGATTGTTAATTGTTGTGGCGCTAGAAATTAAACTTTAGAAGCTCGAGCTTGTAAAATGGTTTATGGCAGGGAAAGCAGGCGACCGCTGCTTAGCAAGGCCGGGATGTAATTATTCGTAGTTCTCAGGTGAGGGACGAAAGCAAATCCCGCTAGTGCCTAATTAGGCTAAACCTGAGGTTAGTATCTGGTCACGTGTTGGACGTCCCAGCCCGGCTCTAGCGATGCGTAGGAGTCGTCATGGCCGTTGGGCAGTCAATACCAAACCGTCTGCCTGCAACATCACAATCCTCGCCATCACATTTGCACCGTTACTCACTCCCCAGATACATACCACAGCTTCGCGCAAGCTGAATTGCCCCAAATTATCTCTAGCTACCTAGCTATTCCAAGCTCGAATCACTGTATTCGATCCACCGTAACGCCAGCTTCCGCGATGGCAGACTTAGGAGCCCCTGCGCAACCGAAGCCTAGTAGCAGTGTTAAGCTGGTGCTATTAGGAGAGGCTGCTGTAGGAAAGGTATAAACCATCAATATCAGGAACTCAAAGCTTCGGCAGATAGCTAAGCAGCTGCAGTCTTCGCTAGTCATGCGATTTGTGAACAACGACTTCCAAGAGAACAAGGAGCCGACAATAGGCGCCGCCTTCCTCACCCAGAAATGCAATCTTCCTACACGAACAATCAAATTCGAGATTTGGGACACCGCTGGCCAAGAGCGCTTTGCTTCCCTCGCTCCCATGTACTACCGCAACGCCCAAGCCGCGCTCGTTGTCTATGACATTACGAAACCCTCGTCCCTCACAAAAGCCCAACACTGGGTTGCTGAGTTGCAACGTCAAGCGTCCCCTGGTATCGTTATAGCCCTGGTAGGAAACAAATTTGACCTGGCAAGCCCAAGCGGGGGCGAGGGCGTGGACGATGTAGATGCTGCTCCAGCGGCCGAAGGGGAGACCAATGAGGACGAGGAAAGCATAGATGCAAGAAGAGTGCCGACCAAGACCGCGAAGGCTTATGCGGATGAGGAGAGCTTACTCTTCTTCGAAACAAGTGCTAAGACTGGAATGAATGTCGCTGAGGTCTTTACTGCTATTGCAAACGCTATTCCAGAGACGAGCTTGAAGGGTCCAAGGGGCGTTGGTGGACAGACAAACCTTGGTAGACAAGAAGATGCGCGTGTAAACCTCACCGGTGGCCGGACAGAGGGACCTAAGGAGGGATGCGCATGCTGATTCAGAACGGAATCGCTTGATGGAAGATTTTGGCCATGTTCAACAGGTTTACTGTTATTATAGCAGGCGTACGAGCTTGGGCAGTACATGTTTCTTTCTATCACTTACATTAGGCAGGATGTACAGACTTCAAACCTCCCAAGCGTCGAGAGTTATTAATCATGTCTCAATACCCTTGAGGCTTTTATTGGATGAGACTGCCTCTATAATTTGTCATGTGCTTCTGATTTTGATCACCGCAACCTTTCCGTAGCAACCTTTACAGCTAAACAGTTCCGGATCTGGTATGTTCTGTTGCGCGCCGTTGTTTGCAGAAAAGACCTGCAAAGCTGGAAAGAGTTATTCTACAAGTCTATTTACGAGGGAACCTTGGTTACAATAGCCAGGACCGAGTGCACCGAATCCAGCGCCACATTCGGAGTCGCAACGTCAAGTGAAGCGATTGAACTATGGTGGGCGGCGCAGCACGACAGGGGTAAGCGAATTCTCCTCGGCTGTTGTAGTCGCTCATGCTATTAGCCCTTGATACTAACCGATGTTACGTTTGCCATTAGCGAATATATTTGCAGGATAGAATTTCACAGTATCAATTTGGTTCCAAAAATAGCTAGTAACAATATTAAGCCGTGGGATAGTAGCTTTCAATACGTCTATCTACATCAGGTCCGCTTCGCCATATCGCCAAGGCGACCGCCAACCCTCCTCTGCTGCAAGGCGGTTTTCGTAATTAGTATTCGGATGTGATACCCGGAGCGCAAAACTTATATAGCGCCACACGGTGCCTTGTATCGTGGCGGGCATTATTGACGTGCTTCTCCGGATATCTCGTCGCCTCGATGTTTGAGTGTTCATGACTTTTCAACTCTTTGCAGTGTATATAAGATTTTATCATTATCTATTCGATTATATTGTAGTATTGACATCTAGGATGGCCTTTTCAAACGGTAATTTTTATTAGATCGAAATAGTTGGCCTGGAGCTGATTTTCAATAGCGACGTGTCAGACTACGACTTCCATAGTACCCAATATCACACAACTCAGTGCCATTGCAAGATGTCAGGCAGCAGCAAACACAACGTATTGCTACCCACCGAATGGAACGCGAATCTGTGTCCCCATAGAGGATGTTCCATGTAACGTCTTATCCACGAGCCTGCAAGGGTATAGATATACGTCAGATGCTGACATGATTCAGTCTACTGGCCGAAAGCATACTATCACTCCGACTCGAGAATCGCCATAGAATATGACCTCAGCTCGTGGTTTATCAAACTAGAGAAAAATGATACCAGCAATGGAACCCAGGACTTCACGCCGTACATGTACACCGATAAAGCTATCTCGATCCCCGGTCGTCCATATGAAAAGACTATGAAGATATATCTGCTTGAGCGGAGATTCAATGACTTTCTCGACCCGTATAACCTGGAAATCCATGAGGGCCCAGAGCTCACACTCGTTAAAACCGCAGAGTTTCCAAGCACTACGCAGTCCAGCTCATTTGCGAGCCCCACGTCGACATACCGACATGATCACGACGAGGATAGTCACGGGCTAGCCCGCGGCAATGCGGTCGGTATTGCGATCGGGGTAGTCGCTGGCACTATTCTCCTTGGAACGCTTTATTACTACTGCTGCATTCGCTCTTCCTGTGCGAGCAAGAATTACACAAGAAACCAAAACGCGAACCAAAGAGAACCTGAAGCACAAGAATTACCACGGCGCCCAATGGC